CTCCCTCTCTCTCTGACCCTCCCCTGCTCACGCTGTCTCTCTCTCTCTCTCTCCTAGAAATAAAAATATTAAAAAAAAAAAAAAAAAAAAAAAGAAAGTTCTTCCAGGCGCCAGACCCCTGAGATACAGGTCACTAAGGTGCGTCCTGGAAGCAGAAAAGCCTGAGAAGCCCGGGCCCTGCCCGCTTGCCAGCTGGCCTGCCCACGCGCTGGCAGGGACCCTGCTGTGGACGGCGGCAGCCTCCGGGGCATCTGCTCACCAGCCTCTCCATCTCCTGCTCCCAGAGCCGTTCTTGGCGCTGCCGCCGGTGGTACTCCAGGAGGTCATCTTCATTGTCACTGATCTCTGTGATGCTGTTTTTCCGCTCCCGAGTGACAGGCACCCGCAAGTCCCCGCTGGACAGCTTCCTCTGGGCACGGGGGCTCTGGCGGGGCGAAGCCCCAGTCAGAGAGCCAAGGCTATAGGCTGGGCTCAGCCTGCCACTGAAGCTGCCCTTGCGGGGTGCCAGTGACTCCCCGAGGGTGGGGGAGGGGCTCCGTGTCCTCCGGCCCCGTGCCCCCAGTGTCAGGGAGGAGTCCTCCGGGGACGCCCCGTGGGCCGCCCAGCGCCGGGGCCGGGGGCTCTCTGCCACTTCCCTGGTTAGCTTGGGGTCTGGCGCAGTCCTGGTGGGCATGGGGGAGAGAGCCCGTCGCGACAGAGACGGGCTCAACGGAGGGAGTTCTCGCCTGCTGTCCAGGCCCCGGCGGCCCAGGCGGGGACTCTCAGGGGGCTGCAGGGTGCGGGAGGCTGACCCATCTGAAAATGTTCGGCCCACCAGCTGGCGTGAGGGGCTGGTTGTCAGCACCCGCTCGGTGCCCGGCAGCTCGCGGAAAGGGCTGGGAGGGCGGTCCTGGAGGGTGCCAATCTTATTTCGGGGAGCAGGGACCGGAGGCTGCAACTTGGGGCTTCCGGGAATGCTCGTGGGTTGGCTTCGGGCACCGGAAGCCGGGTATTCACTCAGGCTGATGGCCACCACGGGCAGCTGCCCGCCCAGCCGGGGGCTCTCGGTGGCTCTGCGGGCCTCCGCCAAGACCGTGGCCGCGGGGCTGTCTGTCAGCAGACCTCGGAGGCCGGGGCTGGGAGGCCTCTCGTGCCCCGCCTTCCGGCCCAGCCGGGGGCTCTCCGAGGAGCGGGCACCACTCGGTCGGGACTGTGGGGGCTGCAGGGCCAGATGGTAGCTGGAGGAGCGGGCGGGTACCAGCGGCGGCACGGAAGGTGCAGGAAGGGCAGGCTCCTGCCCGCTGGGTGAGTGGCTGGCACAGCTGCCGCTGCTGGCTGGCGAGGAGAGCGGAGAGAAGGCTGGGGAGGTGTTCTCGTAGCTGGAGCCCACAGACATGGCGCCGGGGCTGGTTGGCGGGGACAGCAGGTAGCGCCCGCCGTTAGCCATTGGCGACAGCGGGGAAGTCGCGGCAGGCTTCTTGCCGGCTGCCCCGGGCTCCTCTAGCACCAGCGAATCCATGATTTCCTGCAGGTCCTTCTCAATAGAGCTCACCAGGGAACTGTGGCTGCCACAGGCGGAGGGGCCCCGGGTGGCGGCCTGAGGGGCGTGGTTCCCGTTCACCAGGCTTTCCGACTCTGTGGATGGGAAACGCAAAGAGGCCTCAGGCCCTGGTCTTCGGCTCTGGGGAGCTGTGCATGCGCAAGAATGAGGGCGCGCTCCCACCTTCTCCAAGCAGAGGCCGGGAGAAGGTTCTAGAACCGTCAGGTGATCTGCCAGGGCCACCACTGACCTGCGGCGCAACCGTAAATCACTCGCCCTCCCCTCGGCTTCCCTGCCCGTAAAGGAAACGCATGGGTGCTGCCCTGCTGGCTCTGACACTCTATGACGTAGGACGGAGCTGGTGACCAGTCCTGGCGCTGGACCAGTCCAGACGACTAGGTCCCTCCATGCCTTGGTTTCCCCAGCCTCCTAGATCTCTCCTTCAGGAAGGGCAGGTGACATCCTGTAGAGGGGAGGTTGTGGAGCCGGCCAGAAGTTCAGGGCGGCGGGGGGGGGGGGGACCAGTCTAACAGGACATTAGGGCCCCCCAGCACAGAAGCCGAGACCCAGGAGAAACCACAAACAAAACCTAGAGTGCTGGGCAAGACGCGTGTGCTGCACCGCTCTGCCCAGTCAGAGGCAGGGAGGGGCCTGGCGCTGCTGGGCGGCTTCTGGAAGCCAGGCTGGCCGGCCACTGGGTGCAGCGGAGCGCCTCCAATTAGGAGCCCGTGGAGCCACGCCAGCCAGAGCCTGGCCGCGCCCTGCCCCAGGCCTCCTCAACCCACCAGGAGTCCCGGACCTGCTGCCCAACAGCTGAGGGAGGGAGCGGCACGAAGAGGCGAGGGGGGAGCGGGTGAAGGGGTGAAGCCGGCCAGGGAGTGGACGGGGAACCCAGGCTTCTGAGGGGCTCACCCGACGCCCGTGTCCACCTGTCCTGGTACCACACTGACACCTGTCATCCCACAGCCGTCTGAACACTCATGCAAAGCCTCGGATGGGAGGCTCACTGGCAGCCTCCAGGTCTACACCCCGCCCCACCCCCGAGGCAGCTGGGTTGGGGGGTGCAGTGCTGGTTCCCTGAACAATCACCAACTCTCCTCTGGGGATCAGTAATTCACACACAAAGTGCAGCTGCTCCGCTGAGTCATCAGCTGGCATGGCCTGGGGGGAGGGGCGGGCCCAAGGACCTAAGTACCAGCAGGTGGGACCCACCAGCAGGGGTTCGACCTAGGGCTTCCTTCTGCCCCCTCAGGCCACTCTCAAGGGTGAGGTTCGCAGGTGGTTGACACATGAGGGTCCCAGACACCAAAGTGGCACCTTCCAAGGCAGTGGGGCTGGCAGAGGCCTCCGTCCCTTGGGCACATGATTCCCCAGTTCCAGCCAAGTGGCACTTCGTGGATCTGTCCCAGGAGCCGGACCGCCTGGCACTCTCCACCAATGGCCCACGGCAGGTGGCAGCGAGCCCGGATCATGGGCATTGTCCTGCCCTGACACTACGAGCATGGCTGGGATGGGCAAGGAGGACTGTCCAGGAGAGTCACCACCCCACCCCAGGTGTAGCTACCTGAGCCAGGACTGTAGGGGGGCCCGGGGGCCCGGCCCCCTGCCGGAATCATACTCTTCATCCACTTGGCTTCAGCTGGGTGGTTAAAGCGGAGGAAGGTGGACTGACCCAGGCACAACATACAGCCTACAGAGAAAACACAGGCTGAGAAGGGCACGTAGGGCTGGGGTATCCCTCACCCCACAGCACTAGCAGGCTCACGCTGGGCTCCAGAGAGCCAGTCTCACCTGCACTCCCAGGGTCTACGCGGACCACGCCTGACCTGAGAGGCACCACCAGCGGGGCTCCACGGCACAGGGCAGAGCAGAAAGAGCTCTGGTTTGTGAGTCCCACGATCTGAACCCCAGCCCTAACTCGTGGTACTGGCTGTGAGACCTTCAGGTGAAGTCACTTCACCCGAGTCCCGTTCTCTCATTAGAAAAGTGAGGAGAATACCGCTGACCTTGCAGGGCTCACGAGCCAATGTCTGTGAAAGTGTTCTGTGAATGGAGAAGGTTCTTCAAGGCACATGGACACTCATATGCCCCCCCAAACTGTACCAGTGATCCATCTATCTGCCCCTGGGGTGGAAAAGTCAGTTTGAGAGGCCACCATCTCCAGGATCAAAAAGGCTCTGAGAGAGGGGGCAGGGAAAAACCATGCAACGGTCAGAGCCTCCCCCCACCCAAACCAGAATTTGCTTCCTGGCTCCGAACCCTTATCATGGCGTGTCCCGGGGAGAGCTACCACCTTCCTTCTCTCTGACAAAGCACCTCCTGGCCTGATATCTTCCTGCTCCTTGGTCTTCAGTGGAATCTAGCCAAGCCTAGGGCCAGTGGGCCCTGCCTCAGCCAAGCACATTCCCAGGCAGGAGACACAAGCCCAGTCCTGCCCACTAAGTGTGACGACATGGCAAGGGGAGGGGATGTGGAAGCCAGAAATGTAGCCGGGGGCACCAAGGGTGTGCACGGCGGCAGGTGTGCGCACAGACGCCTGAGGCGGGCTGTCAGGACTCCTCCTCCAGGCCGTGCTGCAGGATTCCTGCAAAGGATGCTTTGCTCTCTCCGATGACCCTCCCAATTTGTCCACCCCCCTGTCCCCAGCCTATCTATCCAATCTGCTGCCACTTGGCACCCCCAAGCTGCATGCCAGTCTGAGCTGAGACTGGCAGGGAAGTCTACATTCCTGGACACTGAGACAGTTCAGCTCAGGCAAGCCACAAGGGCAAGGGGCATCCAGGCCACGTGGATACTGCGGCAGACCTCCCACTGAGAAGCTCAGGAGCCTGTTGCTGGGATCCTAGGCATTGCCGAGGCAGGCAGCAGAGGGGCAACAGGCTGAGAAGCCCACAGCAGATACCCGGAGTGGACAAAGCCACCCACTGGCACACCCAGAGACCCTCCCAAACGGGCGGGCACCGACAGTTCTAAAGACTGATGGGTGGTTAGGAGAGAGGGGAGCCTTCCCAGACAAGCTGCCAATCAGAGGAGCTGATCCCAGAGTAATCATAACCGGAATAAATAATAGCCAACCACACTTCCACCTAATTACAACCACAGCTGGCTCAGAAAGAGGCCTGCCCGCCCCTCCCGCTCCTCTCAGCCCTTTAACAAGCTAATTAATGATGAGTTTGCAGGGTCTAGACAGACCCACTCAATCCTAGTTTGATGGGGGGAGGATCACAAGGCCCATCGGACAGCCCAGTCTGGGACGGAGGTGGGGAGTCTGAGTGGATTCCGGCCCATCAGTGCCAGGCCCACCCAAGAAGGCTGTGGGCACCCAGGGACCCTCAGCTCTGACTCCTGTAGCTGTGAGTTCCCTGCCCCCTCCTCTGCCCCTTAGCCGCCTCCACGCAGGGGGTGTGGCCTTGCCGCCTCTGGGCTATAAATAGGTGATGCCAGGCAGGAGCCCTGTAGCTGTATTAATAGAGCAGGCAGGACGGCGACACGACTGAGAGCAGCCCAGCTCCTGCCCAAATTAACTTTCTATTTGCACTCAGGGGCCCCAGGCATCGCCCCAACTCCCCTCCCTAGTGCCCCCGGGAGCCTGGAGAGCCTATTTCTGGGCAGAAACCTCCTCTCTGTCCACTCCTGCCCGGCACCTGCGAAGGTCAGCCCACTCAGGAAACCCAAGAACCTCTTCTCATCCAGGCAAAGTTGTGGGGGGGGGGGGGCTGTCCCCAGGAGGGCCCAGGGCCCAGCTGTGTGTGTGCAGGTGGGTGCGGAAGCTGCACATCTGGAGGGAAAACAGGGCAAAGGAGAGGGCGGATCCTCTCTCAGGGAGACACACAGAGGGGATGCACCACACACTCTCTCCTACAAGCTCACACACACGCACACTCCCAGAAACACACACACAGGCATACGTGCTCACACACTCCCAGGGCCACAGTCACCGCTCAGCTGGCCACACAAATAGAACGGACGGGCCAAAGGGAGGCTGGGGTGAGGGGAAGATGGGAGGAAGGGCCCCCGCCCTTCCCTCAGAGACCCCTCTCGCCTCGCCGCACAGGCTTCCCCCATCCTCATCAGGACCCCTCAGCCCCTTCCGGAGGCGGGTCCGCGGAGGGGACTTCCGAGCGCCGGGGAAGATGAAGTCTGGCCGGCGGAGGAGTGGCCCCGAGCCCAGACCTCCCACTCAGAAACGTGCAGGGCACACACACAATCGTCTCACAGCCCCGAGCTCGTAAAGGGGAGCTGGGGGCCCCCACGCCCCTCATCGCGCCCCCCACCCCACCCCCAGACGCCCCTCCCAGCCGAGCCCCCGGGCGCCCGCTGCCCGCGGCGGCGTGGCCGTCCGGCCCGAGCACTCACCGCCGAACCCGGACCTCCGGGGCGCCGGCCCCCCGCTAGCTCGGGCCCTCGGGGCTCCCGGCCCGCCCGGGCCTGCGAGGGGGCGGGCCGACCTCCCGCGCCGCGGGCTCGGGCTCGGAGCAGCTAGCCGCCAGGCAGCCAGCCGCCGCCAGGGCCCGGGGAGGGGCGGGCCGGCCACCGGCGGGGGAAGGGAGCCAGGGAGGGAGGGACAAAGGAGAGGAGGAGGGGAAGAGGAAGTGATGGAGGAGAGGAGAGGGGAGCTGGATGGAGAGGGCGGGGCGGGAGGATGCTGGCGACCAGCGCCGAGGGAACTCCTCCGGGGAGGGCGGGGGACGCAGGAGCCCAAGTGGGACAGACGGAGAGGAAAGGTAAGCAGATCCCAGAGGGTGAAGAGTCGGGAGGCAGGAGTGAGGCGATGCACTGACTCCCTGTGGTTGGCCTCCCAAGAGGCCTGGGAAGGGGCCAGCCCTGGACCCCACTGGCAGGTCACACCCCCTGGCCTCAAATCCCTTCTGTACAGAATGAGGTTGTCCTCAATGACAGCAAAGGTTAAGCTCTGACACTCCACGGCTCCCAGGGATCCAGCTAGGTCCGAAGGTCCAGCTCTGCCCATCCACTTGCCTCGGTGACAAGGTCACTCGTTGGCTGGGAGTTCAGGCCAAGGCAATGCTCTGTGCAATGTGAGCAGCACTGAGCCCAGCTCCTGTCTGCATCCTGAACGCCTCGTCTTCTGCCCCTGCTTCCCACAGTCCCAGCCCAGCCCAGCCCAGCGAGCTCACCCCAGACCCAGGCTGGACCAAGGCACTGCCCCCTCCAAGCCAGCCCACTCCCCTGGGGCTCCAGAAGCCCCACCTCACCTCCTCCTAACGGCCACCACCCACCACCCATTGTGCTAATCTCAGCAAAGAGCTCTCCCACCCCAGTGAGGTGCCTTCCCATCTGGAAAACACAGTGCCACCTGCGTCTGGAGTCCCCAGGGGGCAGCCTGAGCTTTGTGTGCCAGGCAAGTACCTACCACCCAGCCTGGGCCCCAGCGATTTCCTCCTGTTCCAGGGACCTGACCTCTGGACACCTGAACCCCAAGGGACACACTGTGTCTCTCAGACGCACGCTACATGCTCGGGGCTCACACGGCCTCACGCACATTCCCAGATCCACACCGACACTTCCTCAGCCACACAGACCCCCACCTCGGCTGGGCACATTGAGTCACACAAAATTCCCAGTTAAACACACCCCGTCTCTCACACACGCTTATTCTCACCCACACACCACCCGTCTGAATTACACACTCATTCGAGCACAGAGAGCCTTCCACTCAGTCCCTGGAGAGACTCTGAAATCAGAAGTCAATCTTTCACAGAGAAATAACTGATGTTTCCACCCTTGCTGAACACCTACCCACACTGGCATACTGCACACGCGCTCACACACTCACACGTGCACATGTATCTTACTCCCCTTCTGAAGGAAAATGGAAGAACCATATAGGGTCAAATGCAAAACAGGGGGAGACTTTAAAAAAAAAAATCTCAGGAAGAATGATTCATCGGCCTGGAAACTGTGACGGCCAGCTGGACAGACGCAGACAGACACGGAGGGTGCCCGCCAGTGAGAAATAGGGCAGGAGGCAGGCCCAAAGAAGTGAGGAGCTAGGAGCCTATGCTTTTTCTCTCCTTCCTTTGTGCTTTATTAGTCAAGACCTTTATCTTACAACAGAGGACAGTTGGAAGCTTCACTCCCATTTCACGGAAGGAATAACTGATAATTGGGTGGGAAAGGAAGAGGCTCGGGGTCCTGGATCCCAGAGGGAGCTGGCTGGATAACCCAGGATTCCCAGACCCCAGCCACATTGCAGGGAGCGCCCCCTGCTGGCCATCACGTAAGCCTCTCCGCGTCAATGAGGGGCTTCCGGGAGGGAAGGGGGTCGTGGAGACAGGGCTGGCGGCAGAGGCTGGGAGTGGATGGGGACCTACTGTCTAGACAGCCTGGGCCCTCCCTGAGCTGTGTGGCTTTCTGGGTCCTCCCCTAGTGAGTCCCCTCCCGGATCTTTCATGTGGTCTGGCTCTGTGTTCCCAGGGTGGGGCAGCTCAGACCCAGATTGAGATTCCTCCTTATTTCCTCGCTCACATTCCCAGCTCCGCCTCTTGCTCTGTAGAGAAGGCGGCAAGGGGAGATGTGGCAGAACACGGGGGTATGGAAACGGAATCAGGATCTTCCTCGGCTCCCTCATTTCACGCTCCCGTGTCCACAGCTTTAGCAAAGGGCCAGCATCTCTTTCTGTCTGCCCCCGTCCACCCCGGCCCAGGCACGGTCCTGCTGGAAGAGCCTGTCACAGCCATCTCTACTCATCATGACGTGTGCCTATGGCTGGGCACGGCGCCCAGAATGATGTATCTCAGTAAGGCCTGGCCCGGCCAGAACAGGCTCCTCGTTATTTGTAGGGTAGCCCTCTGTTTTTCAAAGAGGAGGGTCCCCTCTACAAGGCTGGATCGGGGAACGAGACAGGGAAAACCATCCCCCTGCATATATGGCCACAGATAGGCACGCGGCCAGCGAGTTCTCAAATACACCTAAGAGTGCACGCACGGACACTTCGGGGCCATCAGTCCTGAGTTCACCCCTGTCCCTCGCTTGAACGCTCTGATCCATAAACACAAGGAAAGACACAAACAGAGATACACAAGCCCAGGGTCACAAACACATCCGGGGATATATAAACACACTCCAGTCACACAGACACACAGAGATAGCACATGCACACACAGGCCCCCCCAGCCACCCAGTTTCCAGGGAAACGCACTCCCAAGAATGTCCGGAGTGGGGCCAGGCGGGGCTGGGCTTGGTGCCTTGCTCCAGAGATGAGACAAGGAAACCCTCAGCTCCCGAGCCCAGGGGAGGGGGAGTGCTCGGGAGAAGAACACCCGATCCTTTGTGCCTCTGCCTACCCCTCCCCAGGCTGCCAAGCTCCTGAGACAGGCGAGCCCAGACAAGAAGGCGATGGGTGTGGGAGGGAGCCAGAGGGAAGGGGGTTTGGGGTCAGAAGCGAGTGGGAGGGTGCATACTTGGCAGGGTGGGCTTTTGGCTGGGGAAGAGTTAGGGGTCACTGGGGCCACAGGAAATGCCTAAGAATCCCATCTTGACCCAGGCCCTCCCTCTTCTCAGGGAGCTCAATGATGCTCTGGGAAGATGAGCAAGAGGGGCGTACAGGCATCCGTTCCTCCATCCTGCTCCCAACCCGCAGGGAAGGCTTTTCTTGCTCATGGATACGGGGGCTTTGGGGCTGAGGGAGCGAGGGCTGGGCTCTCTCTCTCTCTAGCGTGCGTTGACCCCCGCCCCTCCCTCTCCTTGCCGCTCTACTGTCTCACTTCCACACACCCAAATCTGGGGGAAGATGTTCTCTTTGAGATTTAAAAAAAAATTTTTTTTTATAGTTTATTTTTGAGACAGAGAGAGACAGCATGAGCGGGGGAGGGGCAGAGAGAGAGGGAGACACAGAATCCGAAACAGGCTCCAGGCTCTGAGCTGCCACCACAGAACCCGATACAGGGCTCGAACCCACGAACCGCGAGGTCATGACCTGAGCTGAAGTCGGACGTTTAACCGACGGAGCCACCCAGGCGCCCCTGTTCTCTTTGAGATTTAACGGGACTGTCAGGAACCAGACGGCATCATAAGCAAAGCCCCGATTTATGGGGGTTCCTTCTCTCATCTGGAGGCAGACAGCGGGAAGGCCTGGAGGAGGCAAAGGCCTGCTGCTGGGGGACCTGCTTCCCTGAAGCCGCGTGTGCCCCTCACGCTGCCAAGGGCGGGAAGAGAGGAGCAGGGCAAGGCCGGGTCCCCTGGGTGAGCTGTGAAGGGAAGAGCATCTGCAGGGGGATGTGAGCACTCGGACACGTGAGCGTAAGGGGAGACGGAAACAAAGGAATGAGTGGGATTTCCACCTCGAGGGAGTTTCCAGCCAGTAAGAGGCGAGAGACCCCCAAAAAACAATGCCAGGACGTAACAAGCCCAAAGCTCCTGTCCTCGCGTCAACCCCACCTCCACCCCCTGCCCCAAATCTGCTTTCCTCACTCCCCTAAGGTGATGATTCACTGTAGAAACTGATGCCCAGGGCAAACACACCTGGTCTGTCAAAGTGCCACCTAGGCCAGCCCCTGACCTGCCTGGTCACCATGGTAACCTCACACAACAGAATGGCCTGCTGCTTTGGGAAACGGGGTGGTCACCATATTCATGACCCGAAAGCTACTGTCAACAGCATTTTAACAGGAGTGAGCACAGCCTCTGATTTTTGGCCTCTGATTTCTGCCTTCGCATTTCACCTCGGCTCCATCCGCAGCAGGGGGACTGTCCTCCTCCGCCCACCTCTCCACCTTTTCAGAACCCCCCCACTCTTTCTCATGATGCCATTGTTCTGCTCACTGCTGTGCCAACCGCGGTCCCTGAACCCTGAACAATCCCTCTGACCTCTGTACCGGAGTCCCCCTGCCCTTTGGAGGCAGTAATCAGAACCTCCCTCCCCCACCCGCCACCACCACCCGCCACCAGGTGTGGAGAGGCAAGCTGGGGGCGACCAGAGAAGAAAAGCAGGTTGAAGGCGAATCTGGATGCTACAGGAGTCTGGGATGTTGTTCAGGCACATCCAGAGGCACGTCAGCACCCCACCCGATTTGTGGCCACTCAGTTACCATGGCGACCACCACAGCAGGCTTCCCCAGCGGCACCTCTCAAGTACCAGATTTATTTTTAATTTTTTTAATGTTTATTTATTTTTGAGGAAAACAGAGTATGAGCGGGAGGAGGGGCAGAGAGAGAGGGAGACACAGAATCCGAAGCAGGTTCCAGGCTCTGAGCTGTCAGCACAGAGCCTGACGCGGGGCTTGAACTCACAGACTGCAAGATCATGACCTGAGCTGAAGTCGGACGCTCAACGGACTGAGCCACCCAGGCCCCCCAAGCACCAGCTTTTAAATGGGGAGCGCCTCTGGTTGGGGGCGTCCAAGCTTACCCTGAGTGAGCCGGGTGGGCTGCCGGACAGGGAGCCCATCGATACTGCAGGCATTGCCACACGGGTAGAGGGTGAGGGTGCCCCGCAGGTTCTCAATGTAGCAGTGCTCTGGAGCCACGCCCGGACCCTGCAGGGAGATGTCCCTGGCCGCAGAGCCGATCACCGTCTTCCCTGAAGACAGAAGGCAAACTGAGTCACGGGGCTTGTCGAGGTTGAGGAGGCAGGGACGGGGCAAGGAGGCTGACAAAGGAAATACAGTTCAACCTCCTACTTCACCAGGGATCACCGCCTACCGCTGGCCACCCCTTTTGGGCGCCTGAGCCTGGTGGACACAGCCAGCGGGAGGAGCTGTGTCAGGCAGAGATGACTCTGGCTCAGACACGGGAGGGCACAGAGGATCCAGGCTCCACAGAGAAGGGGACTTCTCTTCTGCAGACATTCCTGTCGTCCCTCCAAATCCTCCTCCCCGAGTCCTTTTCCTCCTTCACCGAGCTCCCCCTTCTTTTCCTCCAAATCTGCCACCTCTCCTTCTTCTCTCCCTCCTTTCTGCACCTGCAACCCTTGACCCCCCCAACTCCCCCTCCCCTCCCTGCTGCAGCCTAAACAGCTCCCCCTGGCAGAGCCCCTGGGACTGGTATTTGGAGAATGTGGGGAATGTACTATCACCCAGGCAACAAGTGCGGAGAGGACCGGCAGAAGCTGCAGCGAGGCTGCAGCGAGGGGGTGAAGGGGGCAGCGCCAGGGCCTTATCTTGGGAGGTCGGCCCCCACTCCCACCCCTCCATTCTCCACAGGTAGCTTCTCCCATGCCAGGCACTGCCCTGGAACCCGCACTGCCCTGGAACCCCGGCGGGGGAGCCCTTTCTTCTTGGCCACGCTGGTTGCTAAGAGCAATGTTCTCTCCCGTTTCGGGGCTCTCCTCCTCATTCCTAAACCGATCTTTAATCCCAATCGTGGAGCCGGATTATCTACCCAAGAAGGCAGGCAGCCCGGGAAGGGACGCACGCTGGTGGGGGGAGGGGGTAGCGTGGCAAACACCGCGGGCACATGGCGGGATGTCTGTAAGGATGGAGGGGTGGGGGGGGGACCGCCCCTCCAGACTCACCTTCCTCCAGCGGCAGAAGGGTGATAGCGGTGCTGAGCCGCCCACTGCCCAGGCTCACCAGGTGGGGCTTGTCCGTTTGCACTTTCAGCCCTTTGCCCGTCTCGATCAGGTCCAAGGGCCCTTTCTGCAGGTAGTAGGGGCGGGGGATGAGCATCCTTAGAGACTGTAGGCCTCAGCCCCGGAGTCCCAGCCACACCGACACTCTCTCCAGGACTGGCCCTCTACGAAGGGCTCTGAGGGTGTCGAAAGGCTTAGCACAAGATCCTGCACGGGGCGCGATTGCACTAAATTGCAATTAGATCTGAATCTAGGCCACTCACTCGTCCCACTGGATTTATCTCAAGTCTTGGCTTAACTGCCCCCTTTGTCTATTAAGACAGAAACAAGGAGAAAGTAAGGAGAGCCAGCAGGCTGGGGGGGGGGCAGGCTGGGGGGGCAGAGGAGGGCCAATGAAGACGCGTCCCTGTACACTTGTCCGTGGCGCTCCGCTTGGCATGGCGAATGCTTGCGTCTTGAAACTAAATCACCGCAGAGGGCATGGGCATGGATCCAGGGGAGGGACACAGCCCAGGGTCAATCTGTAAAACGCTTCCTGACTTCCAAAGAGTATTTTCTGGGTGAACCAATTAACCTGATCCAGATAAAGACTTAGCTGTTAATAGGCTTGGGACCTGGGGAAGGGCAGAGAGGAGCTGCCGAGGGCCGGTGGGCAGAGCAGCGAAACCCATCCCCTGCAGCATCCCTCTTGCCCCTTGGCCCTGACCCCACTCACCTTGACCATTGCTTGGGTCTTGCATGCAGGGCCCACCTGGTTCCTATTAAGAGCGTCCATGGTCCTGGGCCTCCAGAGCTCCTGGGGACACAGAGGAGAGTGGGTGTAGGTGGGGAGGCCAGGGGAGGAGACAGAGAGGAGCAGGCTCTGTGGCCGCGTTCTTAGAGCAGGGCAGCACCCGCTCCCATCATTCAACGATAAGTTCAAGTTCGTGCAGAGGATGTAGAGGCAGCTCAGGAGCTTCCTGGGGGAAGGCAGCGCCTATCTTCAGCCTCACACAGACACCACATCACACCAGTCCTGACCCTTGACCACAAGCACAAAGAGCCCTAGAGGGCCCAGCCTGTATTTCTACGCTTTCTAGCCTCTGACACCCAGGAGCCAGGCCTTGGCAGCAGAGGACCCTCAGACAGACGTCTGGAGGGGGTGGGGGAAAATCTACCTTAGCGAGGGAAGCTGGGCCCCAGGACCTCACACCCCAGGGACACTGTAGCCAGAGGACCTCCAGGTGGGTGGCAGGGCTGAGTCGGAGCTCCATCCCCCCTTCCCCTCTCCTCCTCTCCCTTTGTCACCTTCCCCCACCAGGATGTCCTAGCAGGGTATTTTCTTTCTTTCATTCTTTTTTTTTTTTTAATGTTTATTTTTGAGGGGGATAGGAGGGGCAGAGAGAGACAGAGGATTGGAAGCAGGCTCTGCGGCCTGAGCACAGAGAGCCAGGTGTGGGGCTCTAACTCACAACCATGAGATCATGACCTGAGCCAGCACTAAGGGTCCAAGGCTTAACCAGCTGAGTCACCCAGGTGGCCCCCAGCAGGGTGTTTTCTTAAAGGAGACATAACAGGAAAAGCTCAACCGTTCCTGCCACCTATGTATCTCAACTTCTCTTCCCCAGAAAGCAACCTCACCCCCAGACATTCAGAAACAAACAAAACCCCTCAGTTGTGACTAATGGCCAGAACACAGTCTCAGATCCCTAGAACCAAGGGTAAAGTAGATTCCAGAGCCAGAACGTGAACTCTCCCCACCCACCCCTTCCTCCCTGGCTCACATTTTTGGTGCCCGAGAAATGCGTGGGACCTTTGGGTTTTAATGTGTGTCTACATGACCATCCCTTGATCATCTGGCTAAGGTGCAAGAAACTTCCCATTTGCTGCTAAAATGTTACTGAGGAAAGCGGAGAGAGTGTGGCCCAAGGTAGGAGGGAGGCCCAGGAAGGCCGGGTTTCCCTCCGCTTTCTCTTCCAGCCCTTGACCAGGACCAGGTACCCTGGAGAGGAAGTGGGAGCAGAAGCCCAGCATTCCAAGGAATGTCCGACCCTGGCAGTGCGAACCAAGGGCCTCAGCCATGGAGTTACTAATTTTACCCTCCCAGCTTCCACCCTTCCGGACCTGGACAGCATCATCTCCGTCACCGTTTCCACCCAAGCTGGCGGAAGAGAGACCGGAATAGCGCCTGGGGCCCACCCCAACTCTGCCTGGGAAGAGAGAAGGCAAAGGCCATTAACCTACACCAAGCCCCAAGCTGGCCTGGCATCTCCCCAGGCGATCTGACCATGGGGAAGAATTTCCAGGGTCAGACACTGCTGTACTGTTTCCTTCCACTCAGGGAAATCCCTCCACGTTCTCTGGGGAAGAACTGTGACAGTGGGTTTGGAATAGAGAGTTTACATAAAAGGCAGGGGTGGTGTGTGTGTGTGTGTGTGTGTAAGAAAAATAAAAAATAAATAATGGTGGAGAAAAAGCATCATTCTTTAGTGGAAAGAGGTTCAGACTGGGATGCAAGAGCCTTAAATTCTAACCCTGACTTTATTAGTTATTAGCTGTGAGATCTTGGGCAAGTTACTTAAATTCTCTAAGTGTCAAGTCATTCTCTATAAAAAGTAGAATACTGATTTAAAAAACAAAATAAGATTGTCTGGATTAGTCCTTGCCTGTGGCTAAGGGTAGAATGGGGAGTGACTATAAATGGGCACAAGATTTCTTTTTGGGGTGATGGAACTGTTCTTAAACTAAACTGATGGCTGCCCAGCTCTGTAAATAGCCTCTAAAAGTCATTGAAAGGTACACTTACATGAAGGGAATTTTATGAAATATACATTACACCTCAATAAAACTGGCTCAGTTTGTTCATCTGTCAAATTCGTCACTATCACGCAGTTAGGCTGCTGGGAATGTGTTCATTTGTTTACACCAAAAAATTTTCAAGTAGAGATAAAGACTGTAAAGGAGTAAGGTTGATGGTAACCAGAATGACTAGAGGAGAGAAGAGAATAGTAAAGCGAAAGGAGAGGGAGAGATAAGGAGAGAGGTGTAGGGAGGGACTGAGATAAGAAAAGATGTAGGGATCAGCAGGTTCGAGGCTGTGGCCCCAGCTCGGAAACCTAAGCCAGGTGTAGTGGAAAGATACACCAGACCAACGCGTCCCAGAGGCACCCAGGCGGCGCTTAGACCAAGGGACTGCGCCGCGGCGCGGGGAGCCGCCACCTGGGGGCGCCCTCTCCTCGGACCCCACCCCGGGCCGGGAAGGCGAAGCGGCGCTGCGCCGGGGGCGCCCCCACCAGCCAACCTGCTTCCGTGGACAGGGCTGCCCACTCCCCCGGGCAGTAATTACCCACTCCGAGCGCCCCGCCCTGTCCCGCTGCCAAAAAAAGGCCCCTGTGGCTCGAGGCCGGTTCCCGGGAAGGAGGGACTGGAGGAAGGCGCTGCGGTCAGTCCGGGCTCTCTGCAGCCCTCCTGCACCTCCCCGGACGCAGCGGGGCAGAGGCCTGGGAGCCGGGAGCTGCACTGCAACACGGAGGACCCCGTGGCGGGCGAGGCCGGGGTTCCCGCTGGTGACCCCGCTCAGGCCCCGGCCCCTCCGGCCTCCTCGCCCAGCGGGGACGCGCGAGCACCCAGGCCCTGCGGGATCAGCCCGTCCCCAGCCCTCTCCGCCGAGCGGGTGTCCAGAGTCACCCCTCGGGGGTGTCGGCACGCGAACTAGGGAGAAGGGAGGTCCGAGGAAGGGCGGAAAAGGTCTGCAACAAACAAGCACTAGAAGTCCTAGCTCCAAATCGGGCCCGTGGCGAAAGGTCCCAGGCTAGTCCCGGAGCGCTAGCCCGGCCCCCCGCGGCGCCCCGGACTCAGGCGCTCCCCGGGGTCCCGCGGGGCCGCTCCAGCCCTCACCTGGGGCCCGGGGGGCCAGCCGAGGCCTCGCCCCGGGCGTCGCATGGCCGCGTCCCGAGGCCTGCGGGGCCGAGCCGGGACCCTCGCAGCTGGCCGCCTTCGCTTTCCCGACGCACATCCGCCCTCGAGGAAGGGCCGCCGGCAGGGGAAGGAGTCGGGACGGGAAGGAAACTGAGGCTGGGAGCCCGGGGGGTGGGGGCAGGGGTGGCGTGTTGGAAAGGCCGGGGCGGAGAGAGGAAATGAGGGCTGGGGGGGGGACCGGGTGGGGAAGAGGGATGAAAGACGGAGACCGAGGGAGGAAGAAAAATGAGAGCTGGGGAGACGGACAGGAGGGGGTGAAGTTGCGGGAAGAGCCCGGGGGACGCAGAGCTGGAGACAGGACAGCGAGGCGGGGGGGACTGGGGGACAGAGAAGGGGACGGGGACACTGAGAACAGGAGCTTGGTCGTCCGATAAAGGGGACGACGGCCAGGGACAGCCCTAGAAGGTACAGAGGGCAGCGGTGGGGGGACCGAGGGGGCGGAGAGACGGGGGAGGGGAACGAAGAGGGGACACAGAGGGCGGGCCGGGGTCCAAAAGTTGGGGCGGGACTACAGGCTGTCACGGACGAGAGGCGGGAGTGTGCAGCGGGGCTCTGGTTTTCATGGGGGGGGGGCTCGAAAGCGCCCCTCTCCGGGGTTGCGCACGGGGTGGGCCTGCCGCCAGGGCGCGGCCCCTCGTTGGCCCTCGGCCTGCCCTGCGCGGGGCCGCCAGGTGGGACAAGGCCGCAGTGTTGGGCCGCCCCGCCCGCCGCGGCCGCCGGACAAGCGGCCTTTCTTTGGCCGGGCAGGGAGAAGGAGCCGCTTGTTTGCGCGGCTGGGGAAAGGGGCGGCCCCTCCGACACCGCCCGCTCCCCGCGGGGCAGCTGCGGGAAGTTGGGGGGCGGTGCGTGTGAGCGCAGGGCTGCGAGTGTGAGCGGCGGGATGTGCGTGCGTGAGGAGGTACGTGTGTGTGCGGGCGGGAACCGCGTGAGAGCGGCGGGCTCGGGAGTGCCGCGTGTGCAGTGCGTGTGGACTGCGGGCTGACCGCCAGGCGCGCGGCGGGCGGGCGCGTGGGTGACTCGGGGCGGGGCGCGGTGCGTGTCTGCCGCGTGGGCTGCCTGACGGGGTGGGCAGCGTGTGTTTGTGTGTGAGCGGTCCGATGAGTCAGCCCGGGAGCCTCCGGGGCCGCTGAGCTAACGGGCCCAGAATGCGACCCCGCCCGGCGCCCTGGGTTCCCCGGCCGAGCCCCCGCTCGCGCCGGCCCGGGAGGAAGCGTCTGCGGGCGCCTCGGCAACCCCGCGCCGGCGGCCCCTCCCAGGCCCCGCCGCCCCCGCCCGCCCGCACTTCCCCATCCCGGAGGAACCCGGATGACTGGCTCAGTCCCCGCCTCGGGGAACTCCGTTAGGGATTCGGATCCGGACGCGCGGGCGTGGCAAGAGCCTAGAACTCACTCCCCTAGGGAACCCCATCCGGCCTCCTGGATCCCTAAAGATGCGGGGCCTCGGAGGAGGGCCCGGGAGGCCCCGGACGCGCCTCGCGTCTGCTGAACACATCCAAAGTCTCTCCCTGATACCCACTGCCTCCGGGTCGGACTCGGCACACACTCCTCGTCGATCAACACGGCCCAGGACGGGAGCAGAGATGGCCCAGGGGAGCTCCCTGCCCGGAGCAGTGCTCTCAGTGGCCCCGTCGGCCGGAGAGGGGGAGGTGTGCGGCGCCAGCGGACGAGCCCCCCGAGGGTCCGCCCCGCGGGCCGTCTGGGCGCCCGCGGGGGAGTTCCGAGGGGGCGAGGCCCCGCGTCCCTGGCGGGGGGAGCGCGAGGGCCCCCTCTGGCGGCTGTGCGGCCGGCGGCCGGGAGGGCAAGAGCAGGCAGCTCGCAGACAAACCGCGGAGCCAGCCCTCCACAAAGCCCCTTTCGGCCTCCCGCACCCACCTGGGGCGCCCCCTCCTCCCCCACGGTTTCTTCTGGGCTTCCCGGCCCGGAGCTGATCTGAGCGCTCCCGCCAGGCCCTGGGACTTCCCCTTTTCCAGCCCCAGCCGCGCAGCCGGCGAGCCCCGCGGGCCTAGTGGGAGAGCGCGTCCTTACCTCGCGTGGGGAGAGCGGGACACCGGTTCCCTCGCCTGGCTCGGCCCGCCGCGGCCTCAGGCTCTGGAGGACACTGTGGCTTTTCCCTGGGAGCCCGCTGAGTGGGAGGAGAGCGAGCGGGTCCCGCCCCCCCCAGTCCCCGCCCCCGTCCCCCGTCCCGTCCGCCTGGCCAGCCAGAGAAGACGCCCTTGTGGGGCTGAGCCCAAGGTCCCCCCCACCCACCCTTTCCCATAGCAGCACCTCCCCCCCTACCACCCACCCCGCCTGCACAGCACCCGCTTTGTTCCCCTCTGCAGCTGGGTTCTCCACTACCATCAAAACACACACACACACACACACACACACACGCACACACGCACACACCTCCGCCTTCCTCCCCTCCCGTCCGGACTCCCCCAGACCCTCCACCCCTGGGCCTTAAGGCGCTTCTGAAAGGGTGCTTTTGACAATTTCTCACTCTCTGCGCCCGCCCGCTTTACTTTTTTAACCTTAGATGCCTGAGTCCTCTATGGCTCCCGTGAACCTCCTGGTCACAGCCCCCCAGCATAGTCAGTATCTCCAGAAAACACCTGCTGAGGGCACCCAGCTTTACCCCCTCCTCACCCTATTCCAGGCCGTACCGTGAAGAGTCGTAAATGGGGTTGATAACCCTGCACATCTGGCTTCACAGATTTTTCTAAGGATAGGCATAAGACACGTTAAAGCTCCATGCAAACCGTAAAGTACAAACCCGAATCGAATTATCATCCTGCCCCCATCCGGGTAGCTCCTCCCTACCACACCTGCTGCTTTACGCCGGCGAGGCAGACAATTGAGCGCACCATCCTGTAGCACTCTGGGTTTCTCTAGGAGTAGGGGCTTAATAAGGAAGGAAAGGAGGGACGAAAAACCCAAGAGGAGCCTAGAAACTGAGCCTGCGTGAAGTCATTCTTCATCTCAACCCCCGCCCCGAAATTCAACGTTGACAGCGGATCCTTACCTTGCAAAGCCAGCTCTTGCCCCAGGAGACTGACTTGGGAGGCCCTAGGGAGCTGAACTCGGCTAGACTGGGCGTTTTTGCCTCGCCCTGCAGGGATCCCTGAGACTCTTCCGCTCTGAATAAGGGAGCAGAAAGCACCCAAGGCTCCCAGCTGGGGCAGAGAGCAGAAAATAATTCACCCTCTTCGGGATGAACGGATCTCGTTCTGATTCAGTGGCTTTAGTTTGCGCCCTTCTCTCCTAACCCAGGAGCGGCAGGAGGCTGAACTGCAGGAATCTCTGGTCACTCATTGACAGGACGGGCATTAGCAGGGGGCCCCCCCACGGCTGGAGGCTGGGGCTGACCGGAGCCGGGCGATGGAGGAGAGGGGGGAGGGGAAAGACACTTTGCTGTTGCCAGCTGTGGCTAACAGAGGTCGAACAAGGCTCCAGCATGCATCGTGGTGCCGGGCAGCCTCAGGAATTGGAGGGTAGGAGGCTGCTACTTATTTTCCCTCTTTTCATACTGTTTGAGGCCCGTGAAAGTATTGACTCTGGCCACCTTTCGTGAAGCAGATCACAACAGCAATTTTCAGACTCTTCTGGTAAAAGAAAAACAAACCGAAACTATTGTATCCTACGTGCCAAATCCCAGCATTTGAGGGAAGGGGTTCTGATGGGGGTGCCTCGGAGTCTTTTCACAGAACTCCACAGCTCCTGGATCTTCTTCCCCTCCTGGTCAGGAGGAGGGGTTCCAGGGAATGACCAGGCCTGCCTGCCACGAGGCAGCTGATGCTGAGGCAGGGGGTTGAAACAGCACCCCTCGCTGCGCTGTCCTCCCAGCGCAGGGACCAGCTGACCCCAGGGGGAAGGCTCAGTGCAACGTGTCCTCAGTCCTGCTGCGTTGAGGCCCTGTGTTCCCACAGTTCGAGCACTCAGGGGACTACAGACCTGCCGCCCCCGCCCCCACCCGCTGCACATCTGGAGCCCATCAAAAAACTCCGTGCTCTCTCACAATTACGCAAGAGGTCGAGCAGCTGGGAGCGCAGGAGAGGGGGAGGAAGAGAGAAGAAAGCAGAAAACAGCTTTCCAAGCATGCTTCAGACTTTCCGAAGTGGAAGCAGGGGGAGAGGGCAAAGGCTGGGTGTGGAAGGAAGCGCGGACTTGTGAAGGCCCTCTGCACTCGGCTTGAGCAAAGGGGTGGATTTCCACGCCCCTCCCTGCCTCTGCCTAAGCACGTTTCCCAACGTTGTCCCTCCAAATGTGCTCCCTCCAGCCCCAGGACAGGGATTTTTGCTCATACGGCAAGCGAACCCTGCAGATTCACACCTTCTCAAGCCATCCTTTCTGGCCGCTGTGGATCCTGAACTCAGGCATCATTAGTGTAGGTGCGGTGGCCGCAGGGATGCCAAGTGACTCCCTGCTGCATCCGGCTGGGGAAGAAGTTCAAACCTTTCTGCAGCAGAAACCTCCTTCTCAGCTTCTCCAAGAAAATGTACACTCCACGCTTAGACCTAAAGCTAGGATACATCAAAGCTGAGTAGGCAGTGGGGGGCGGGGGAAGACTGGCCCTGTCGATATCCATGGCTCAGGACCTTCCTATGAACTGAAAAGAACAAGCATTCATTTGGGCAAAAGAATGGGAAACAAAATCTATTTCCATTTCCCTCATTGCCTTGAAATTGAAATGCCTTCTTCAACTAGCCCATTTGGTGATCAACCCAATCACAGAGGACATACCCTCGTGGGAGCTTTTGAGAATTGGACTAAGCCCCAAATAACCACGTAGCGCCTGCCCTGTGAACAGCAAGACAAAAAACCTGTGGGGGGGGCGGGTCGGGGAGTGGGAAATGATCCAAACTTCTAACAATTGGCTGGTTACTTGACCTTTTACGTTGGAGAGTGGGCAACAGCTTGGTTTGGAAAGGTAACATAATCTTCCTACAGGTTTGCCTCCACGTAAACCACAGAACTCCCAGGGGTTAAGACGGAAGACATACACTTGTAGAAATGCTGTCAAACTTTAGGTAAGAGCCAGGTACAGCAACGTGTGTAGATCACGTGTGGATCTTCCTGGAGTTTCAAAGCTCGATAGCCGCGATATTTGCCAAAGGGGGCAAAAAGAGGAAGTGGAGAGACTGGTTGCAGTGAGATGTGCATAGTAAAGGGGAGTTAATTCTGAGTTTTTGCTTTGAGAGATTCCTCTGAACCCTATTCCCACCCCTCACTGAGACCCACGCTGAGTGTCACTAGCTGCACTCTCACCCTGGTCTACCTTAGGAAAAAAGGCTTTGTAAGTAGGTACGGTCATTGCTTCTAGTTAATCTTCTTGGGGGGGGGCGACCTCTTCCTGCTCTATTTTCCTCCAACGAGCCAGACCAGATGTGAACTTTTTAAAAAAGGCCGTCAGCCCCGGAAATCTCTGAGATCCTACCCAGTGTGAACAACTTCACATTAACTGGAGGGTAAAACTTCCTGTGTCTGAGATGCATGGGTTGATAGATTTGGAGGTTTGAAACTACTGAGTAGATGAATTACAGATCTTTCTTAAAAGGAATTCCTGGCCACAGAGGTGTGTTCCCTTCCTCCTCTACGTGGAATTAATTCACTCAAAGCGGGAACCACAAACCTCCTGCGTTAGACAAAATGCTCAGTCAGATCTAATTATTTTGTTGGTCTCCCTCACAAGAGGCCAACGAAAGAGTGCACTTGATGCCACGGAGGGATTAGCTGGGGGTGTGACGGGGGTTTGGTGTGCTTCACCGGACTAAGGTTACAGTCTGAGGGCCAAGCCACACTTCAGCAACACAGACCAGACACTTTGTATTTCTTTTAAGGAAAAAAAAAAAAATTCAGAACCTTGCCTTTCACCATGAAGATAAAAACTCTTGTCATTCCCAGACACATATTATTCTTTGGAGAATAATTTGTCTTCCAAAGAATTTGATGGCATTCAATAGTTTTCTAATAAATAAAAAAGATGAAGCTTTTTCTCAAGGAATTCTCAAAACTCCCAAAGCATTCATCACTCACCCCCATCACTTACTTCTTACCATTGTTTCTCTGATGGGGAAGAGAATGCTCCAAGATATCACCGATTGTTCCTTTTTTAAATTAGAAATGGATCAGAAATTTATTTAGAATTTTTTAAAGGTGTATTTATTCTTTTTTTTTAATGTTTTTTTAAAAAATTTTTTTGTTTATTTATTTTTGAGACCGAGAGAGACAGAGCACGAGTAGGGGAAAGGCAGAGAGAGAGGGAGACACGGAATCTGAAACAGGCTCCAGGCTCTGAGCTGTCAGCACAGAACCCGATGCGGGGCTCAAATCCATGAACCACGAGATCATGACCTGAGTGAAGTCGGACACTCAACCGACTGAGCCACCCAGGCGCCCCGAAGGTGTATTTATTCTTGAGAGACAGAGCACATGAGTGGGGGAGGGACAAAGAGAGAGGGAGGCAGAGAATCTGAAGCAGGCTCCATGCTGTCAGCACATAAGGTGGACACGGGTCTGGAACCCTCAAAAGACCCTCAAACCGTGAGATCAGGACCTGAGCCAAAGTCTGACACTTCACTGACTGAGCCACCCAGACGCCCCCAACCATTATTATTCTTTAAAAATGAAGCCTCCTGTCTCTTTTGTTTTTAATTTTTTCAATGTTTATTTTTGAGAGACAGAAAGAGACAGGGCATGAGCAGGGGAGGGGCAGAGAGGGACACAATCTGAAGCAGGCTTCAGGGTGCGCACTGTCAGCACAGAGCCCGATGCGGGGCTTGAACGCATGAACTGTGAGATCATGACCTGAGTCAAAGTCAGACGCTTAACCGACTGAGCCACCCAGGCGCCCCTGAAGCCTCCTGTTTCTGACTCTACAACTCCCCCTGACAAAATTAGGACCAATTAAGTACTGCCGTCAGGAATGCATGTGTATGTGTGTGCGCTCAAATGCAGAAAAATACACGAGGTGGCACAATCCCTGTAATATGCGGGAAGGCAACGAATACCCTTAGAGATTATTTTCTCTGAAAAAAACATGTCATTAATTTTTAAACTTAGATCCTGTTACATCATCTCAAATCAGCAAGCAGACACCACAGTATGAGTCAAGAGTCTAATGAACATTCATTTTATAATACTCTTTATTTGATTAAAGAATTTTCCTTCTTTGTGTACACTGGAATGTTATATTCCCTATGTATTTTACAGGGTTACAAAATGTCTCTCATTTTAAATATTACCCCAAAAGTAATTTCAGAAAAAAAAAAAGTTTTGAAACTAAACTTTAAAAAAATCGTATGGACAAGCAACTTTCAAACAAAACTGGATTAATAAGATTTCTCGCCTATTTAGCTACATGACACATTTCTTGTCCCAGTCCCCTTCCTCAAAAAAAACCTCATGTGGAAACCAAGCCAGAGATAAGGATTCTTCCCTGATGCAGTTAAGGGAAAGGGAAAGGCCAGAAATTTCTTTGGCAATCAATTCCATCCATGGCCACCAGTGCGTGCCTGCTCTGCTTCAAGGACAGTACGCTCTTTGCAGGGGAGGCCAGATGCTGTCCCCAGTGGGAATGGTACTCTCCAGCCAGCTGGAAGCGCAGCAGGTCACCTAGTCATCCGCCCCGCCGCCCCCCTGCTGGGGCTGCAGCAGCCCCCCCCCCACGTACGAAGTGCAATACTGGGTTAAAAAGCCAAAGCGGGGCTGGCCGATGTAGCCTTCTTCACTGCAAGAGTAATGGATGAGACGGGGCATGAGGACACTCAATAGAAAAGGCTCACGGGAGGAAAAGGAAGGATTTCAGGGATAGGGACAGTGGGGAGGGACCGGGTAACGCAGAGAACAGCCAGGAAGGAGGAGGTGGTGAAATCCAGGCAATGTGAATAGATTACGAAGACCATGAGCTCTTATGTTTTAGCTGAAGAATTCAAAAGCACTAGACGCTTGGGTAGCACCAGCAGCAGACATGATTACCTGTGGATGTGAAATCCCTCACTGGACATAACCATTCTCTGCTCAGGCATCCTGAAGTAGGGCTGTGCCATTTGAAAGCTGCCTCTCAGCTAGCTGTCTTTAATAGCGACACAGGTCGGGTTCACAGTACTGTTCTAAACTGGAGGGGCAGGACTGGAAGGAAGACACCTTGGCAGAGGGAGGGAGGGAGGAGTGCGGACAGGAAAATGACAAAGGACGTCCTTATCTTTTAACTTCTAGACCTCATACCCCTTAAGCAGGTCACCTGAAGAGCCTGAAGATGGAGAATGGGCTAGAGCAACTGTTTCCAGGAGCGCCAGATGTAATGCCTACATACAGATGATCCCAGCACGTGACTGAATGCACAGAAAGAAAAAAATGAAGGTTAAGGAGTTTAAAAGATTAAAATTTGAAGAGACAAAGAGGGGAAAAAAGAAAATGTGCAGAGAAAACTTTTAAAAACAAAGTAGGAAATGTAACTATATTCAGGGATTAAAACAAAGGAGCCACGACTGGGGTGAAGGCAGAGAAGCTGTTTAACTGGGGGCATTCTCTGGAGAGCGTGCGTTCCTGCTGGCCAGTGGTGAGACCTGCCAAAGAAATCAGCAGCCTTTCCCTTTATGTTTGTGTCTTTCTTTGCCAAAGAACGTCTCTGTGACACTTAAACACTGAGGGTGAGTTGAGGGTCCTTGCGCGCAGAGAATCGTGCATTGTACCAGAAAAAAGGGTCTCCAATGGCTTGTAGATTTGAAAAAAACTCTTCAGCCACTGTTGGCTTCTTCTTTATTAATTTGAAATATTTCCTCTCTGGTTCCCTCTCCTTGGTATTACAGGATTTCATACTTATCCACTAGGAAAGTGGTCTCTGTGGAAAACCTCACAGGGCTGTTTCCATCTACCTGGGTCACTTTGGTAACCTAGGGAAACAAACAAAGAATAAGGTAAAGCAGGAGGGCAAGTCTCCAAGGCACCGACTAAATTCTCAGGACAGAACAGATCAAGTTCCCTGAAAGCAGCATTAAAAATAACTCAAAAATACTAACAAAGGTAATTCACAACTGTAGCTCACAGCGGCACCATTCCCCACTGCCATGATTAACCTGCTTCCCACACAGAAAAGACAACTGCTGGGATGAGAGGTGAAGTACGTGGTTTTATCAAGTAAAAGATCTAGAATGAGTGGCCGTTACTCAGGTCCTCCCATAAAACCTATGAAGTCTACAGACATTTTATCAGGCTGATCAATTGATATTTTGACCCAAAATGCAATATTCTAACTCTTCAACTTTATTTGCTTGACTTGCTCTCAAAGCCTCACTAAGTGGCTCTATCACACATATTTTCTAGAAATGGCTGTGTCCTTCTGTGACATCTCGTCTTTTCTTTTTAATTATAAATGTCTAGTTTAATGAATTACCTGTAACAATAGTGCCTATAAGGGCATCAACATGATGCTTGAACCACTGATTATATTTTCTAATGAGGTTTTTCAAATGTTCTAAAACAGGAAAATGTACCCATTTCTTTTATTTTTTTTAAGTTATTGTATCTTTTTTTTTTTTTTTTTTAATTTAAGTAATCTCTACACCCAGTGTGGAGCTCGAACTCACGACCCTGAAATCAAGAGTCACATGCTCCTCCTCTGACGGAGCCAGTCAGGAGCCCTGAAAACATACCCGTGAAAATTGACTGTCTTGGGTTCAACTGCATGCTCCCAATATTGAGGGGCTTTATGCCAACAACTAAGAGTGGAGAGAGAACTGCTTTTTAAAACGCCCCACCACAGGAAGGCCCCCGTAGTCTCCTGAACACTTAAAGGAGACACAGAGACCATCTGGGAGGATAAGACAGTGCCACAGTAACAAGCAAGACACCAAGTCAGAAGGGAAATGACAATATGAACTGGGCCCTTGTAATGCAACTTGAGAAACTGGAGAAACAAGGAGTTAAAAACAACGATCTCAAGAAACAGTTCACAATCTCCACTGCTTTGCCTATCTAAAAGGCAAAGTTTGCAACAGAACTGGCTGATTATCTGTATTAATGAAGGGATGTAGTAACACAAAAAATCCAAACATTGTATCCATTTCTATTAGAATCACTTTTGAGGGGAAATAATTTTGCCTTCCAGATAAACTTTCCTTCCTTGTGTCCAAACCAAGTGACATATAAAAGGGATTAGAAATCCATGGGTTGCATGTTTTGGTAAAAGGCTTTTAAAATATATGAGATTGTTTAAAAAAAAAAAAAAACAGGCAAGTAAGAGATCTAAATCTTACACAATCCATGAATACTTTTATACATGTTCATATTCAATTTCTTTACCTTGTCCAATCTAGAGAGGAAAAATGAGTTAAAACAGGAGAGGAATTTGACCAAGATCATACAATGAGAGTCAATAATAGAATCTGCAGTGAATACTAGCTCTTGATTTTTTTTTTAAAGTAAGTTCTAGGCCCAACGTAGGACTTGAACTCACAACCCCAAGATCAACAGCCGCATGCTCTACTAATTAGCTAGCGAGGCAGGCGCCCAGCTTTTCTGATTTTTGATCCCGTGCTGCTTATCTGGCATCTGTCCCCCCCACTTTCCCCGTTACGTGCTCTCTATTAAAAGGGGGTACCTGTATGTTACAGTAGTTTCTTTTGGAGATGAAAGAGACTTGAACAGGGAAGAAATCGTTGGGCTGCCCAGCAATGCTGAATTCAAGGCTGCCACTCTTATTTTTGGCATCAATCACTGGCAGGCACCACTCCAAGGTATTTCGTCGACTGTCATGTCGATACTCGCCATCAATCTCACCAATCACCGGCGCACCGACACCGGATCTGTCATGAGAAACACCTGTGTCACATTAGGTGTCCAGAGCTAGAGGAATTCTGCCAAGGAAAACCAGCCCCGAAAATGCTCCTCAAATTCTGCCCACATTACATGATCCTTGAAAAAAGTGAGGCTCCCTAATAACTGCAAGGATCAAACAGTCTTACTAGCACCTTGGCTGAAGGGTCCCACTCACTGCTTTTTATAGATACAAACACATACAAGCGTGGGTAACTGGCAGATAAACCAGCCAGCTGCTCCAACCTGTGGATCAGATCTGGAGCTAGTCGGGGACTGAGACCGACAAACATGTGAAGTGGGATATATTTCCAAAAGTCCTGCACCAAGGGTTTGTTGCCCTGTCAAGAAAGAATTTTAACATAATGCAGCTCTCTTTATAGGTGACAATGGGGGGAAGACATAGTGACTGTACTGGTGGGAAACCTTACACACCATTATGTGATTATTTAGAATGGAGATGAATTTGGGCCTTTGAGAAGAGGTTTTCAAAAGACTTTAGAACGTTTCAAAACTTGTAGTTGATGCCAAAAAGTCTGATTTACAATCCAGTAAATGGACTTAATCTGGTAAGTGAAAACACAACTTTCTCTGCCCAGAATGTGCACATGGTGGGAGAAAAGAGACGCACGGCTGTCCTTAGTCTGCAAGAGAACCAGGGCTAGTTAGGGTGTACTCTGCACCTGCAAATGTGGCTGACGGGCAGCGTCACCCACTCCTACACATTCTAAATTTACTGTCTTTTAATTCACCAATGACATTAAATGCCTGTATTAGGGACAGAGTAAATAAGGAAGTCAAAGAAGATTTTAAGGGTGATACAACCTGATTAGCTCTTCCCTATCCATTTTACGGTCCCAGCTGTATATATGTTTCTTCTCTCTGCCCTTGTTCCGATTCCGATTCTGATCTCTAAAATATAATCAGTTCTAGACAATAGGGTAAAATGTTGTGTAAGGGTCTTTTCTGGAGACTATTGCAAAACTGAACTAAGACATAGGAAACCACCATAACCACAATTATAGGGTAGATGGAAAGGCCTAAAAATTGTGGCATCCTAAAAATAGCCTAGTAAAATAAATCTTGACAAAACAAAACCCACACCTGACACCAACGCCCAAGTCCTACAATGGTTCAAGGTAGCCATCTATTATTCTGTAAGAATAACCGTGCTGTGAAGAATAAGATAGTTACTCCAATAAAGAAGAAATTGGTAATAAAGCATACTTTTTATTTTTTTAATTAAAAAAAATTTTTGAGAGAGAGGATGAGAAGGAGTGGGGCAGGGGCAGGCAGAGAGAGAGAGAGAGAGAGAGAGAGAGAGAGAGAGAGAGAGAACCCTAAGCAGGTTCCACATGGTTAGTGCAGAGCCTGATTCAGGGCTCGATCCCATGAACTGAGAGATCATGACCTGAGCCAAAGTCAAGAGTTGGATGCTTAACCAAATGAGCCACTCAGGTGTCCCAAGCATAGTTTTTTAATGGAAAAATAAGAATGACTAAAAACCAGGGGCGCTGTTATATTTAAAAAAAAAAACAAAAAAAACACAAACAAACCCAGGGGTGCCTGGGTGACTCAGTCAGTTGAGCGTATAACTTTGGCTCAGGTCATGATCTCACAGCTCTTGGGTTCGAGCCTTGCATTGGGTTCCGGGCTGAACTCAGAGCCTGGAGCCTGCTTCAGATTCTGTGTCTCCCTCTCTCTCTGCCCCCCACCGTTTGTGCTCACTCTCTCTCTCAAAAATAAACAAACATTTTAAAAAAATTAAAAAAAAAACCCTCCCATTAAAAAAAAATGACTTAAAAACCTGACCTGGCCATGTAAAAAGGAAACACACTACAAATTAAAATAGTACCATTTTGTCTGCAATAATAAATAATGTAACAATAAAAATACATTAAGAATACACTTACTAAGCATAATGACACCCATACTTAACCATAGGGGGTAGGTACTGAGAGGAAAAGGAGAGGGGCTAGGAATTCATTGGTGATATAATAGGGCACACTCACTGGAAGTGCTAGTGAGATTAATTTGAGGGAGAGAATATTTCCAGATGATCCTGGAAAGTAGGCCATTTGAGCACACAGCAAAAACTTACGGGAACTAATTTTCTAGGGGTGATGGATATTATCATTACCTTAATTGTGGTGATGGTTCCACAAGTGTATGTGCCAAACTTACAAACTGTACAATTTTAATACGTGTAGTTTATCGTAGGTCAATAAACTAGGTCAATAAACTAAATAAACCACAATAAAACTATTAGAAAATTCACTAAAACTAATGTAGATGTGTTCCAGCAGGAATCAGTAGCTCCCTTGAAAATGTAGTGTCAGGGCAACTGGGTGGCTCAGTCGGTTAGGCGTCTGACTTCAGCTCAGGTCACGATTTCATGGCTCATCGAGCTGGAGCCCTGCATTGGGCTCTGTGCCCCCCCCCCCCTTTTGCACTCTCTCTCTCCAAAGTAAATAAACATTAAAACAAAAAGAAACAAAGAAAATGTACTCTCATCTTTAGCTGAAAGTTTAGAGAACAAAGTGAAAGAGAAAGACTCAGTCAGATTCCATTTCTTTGAGTAGCAAACAAAAGTGAGAATGGTTTTTCACAGAGAATGGGCTCCTCCTTCTGGAAGTCTTCATTACTACAGGAACAAACCGCGGCCCAACAATCTGAAAACCTTGCTCTTAGAACAACTGGCTTTGTTCGAGTTGGTTTTAAAACAGTAAATCCACTCCTCTTACAGTGTACACTGCATGTACTTTGACTATATAATCTTGTAAGCACTATAACTATCAAGTCAGAGAACATTTCCATCATCCTCAAAAGTTCTCTTGTGCCCTTTTAATCAACTGCCTTCCTCTCTACCTCCTGATTTGTTCCAGGAGTAGAACACATTTTCACTATGTCCTCTAAGTGGAACCGTCATAGTATCAAAGCCTTTTGTACCTAGTTTCTTTTACAACTGGCCTGTTTAGGAAGCAGATTCTTATGATGGGTAGCCAACTGAGTGCTGCATCCAAAACAAGTTCCAACAAGTTCCAAAAGACTAGTTCTATGTACCCCAATGTTCATAGCGGCACTCTCAACAATAGCTAAAACGTGGAAAGAGCCTAAGTGTCCATCAACGGACGAATGGATCAAGAAGATGTGGTTTATCTATACCATGGAATACTACATGGCAATGAGAAGGAATGAAATCTGGCCATGTGTAGCAACATGGATGGACCTTGAGGGTGTTATGCTGAGCGAAATAAGTCAGGCAGAGAAGGACAAATATCATATGTTTGCACGTACAGGAGGATTAGGAGGAACTTGACGGAGGAACAAGGGGGAGAAGAAGGGGGGAAATGGTGGGGGAAAGGGAGAGAGGCAAACCATGAGAGACTCTTGAATGCTGACAAAAACTGAGGACTGATGGATGTAGGGGGGAGGGGAATGGGCATGGAGGAGGACACTTGTGGGGATGAGCACTGGGTGTTATGTGGAAACTAATTTGTCAATAAACTATTTGTAAAAAAAAAAAAAAAAGAAAAAGACTAGTTCTAGAAGCCCAATACAGAAAACATTGATTACGTGGGGGACACCACTTACGGGAGTGGGATGGTGATAATCACATCATTCAGTTCTAAATGATCTTCTTGTAGCTCATATTCTATGTTGACATCACAGCCATTTCCACTCTCTGAGGGCCAGCAATTAACTGAGAAGAAAAGCAAAGCAGGAATACTCAAATACTAGAAAGAGAGTGGAGAAAAATTAGGACAGCAAATCAAAGCTGACAGCTGCAGGCCTTAAACAACCTAATACAAACTATTATAAATAAGTTTCCAGATTTAAGCTATTAAAAATGAAAGCTCATGATTAACATACACAAAATGCAGCACTGACTCCATTTTGAAAGGAAATAATTTTGTCAAAGAAGAACTTTGCTATGCGATGAATGTAAGAGCATACAAGCCAGGGCTATTTCTAGTTCTCAGTGCCGACTAGCTTAGTGGGACTGGCCAGAAGCACTTACTTGTCAGTGGAATAAAAGATTCTTCTGTGGTTTGTAGCCTCCACTTTAGCACCCCTACGTCACTGTTGACTGGGAATGACTTCTCTGGATTCTTCAAGCCAATCAGAGACTCTGCAGTGAAAAGTTTTTTATCCACATTTGGATGGGTCTAAAATAAGAAGGGAAAAAAAACTTCTAAGGTTGGGGCATGATAAGATTGGAAACAGGGGTGCCTGGGTGGCTCAGTCAATCAGGCGTCCAACTGTTGATTTCGGCTCAGGTCCCATCTCACAGTTCTTGAGATCAAACCCCATTGTCTGTGCTTTCAGCACAGAGCCTGCTTGGGACCCTTTCTCTCCCTCCCTCTCTTTCTGCACCCCCACCCCAACTCATGCTTGTTCTCTTTCCAAATAAATAAACATCAACCCCCTCCCCCCCAGAAATTTATGTTAAAAAAAAATAGGAAATAAATTCCTTCTGGTCTAAGATAGAATGCCATGGGGCACCTGGCCAGCTCAGTTGGTGAAGCATGCAACTCTTAATCTCAGGGTTGTGAGTTCAAGCCCCATATTGGGTATACAGATAACTTAAAAATAAAATCTTTAGGGGACCCTGGGTGGCTCAGTCAGTTGAGCATCCGACTTCAGCTCAGATCATGATCTCATGGTTTGTGGGTTTGAGCCCTGCGTCGGACTCTGTGCTGACAGCTTGGAGCCTGGAGCCTGCTTTGGATTCTGTGTCTCTCTCTCTGACCCTCCCCTGCTCAGACTGTCTCTCTCTCTCTCAGAAATAAATAAGAAAAACATTTTTAAAAATAATAAAATAAAATAAAATCTTTAAATCTAAACCATTTTGTTTGTAACTGAACAAGTTAATAATTTTGTAACTGAAAAAGTTAAAGACATTTAACCAAGTCCTTTCTAAAAACCCTTCACAGGAAGCAACATCATGGTAGGTCCAGGGAAGCCAAGTAGAAGATTAAGGTTAGTTAGATGCTGATCAGCAGCCCAGGTCAGATAGGAGTCCTGGCCTTATAGTCAGCAGGCAGGAGAGGGAAAAGTTCTGTGCAACTAAACTGTTGCAATCTTGCCCAGAGCACTACAGTTGTTCAAATTCAGGCCAAGTAAGATGGACTACAGAAATCATATTAACGGGGCACCTGGATAGCTTAGTCGGTTAAGCATCTGACTCTTGATTCTGGCTCAGGTCATGATCTCACAGTTTGGTGAGTTTGAGCCCCCGTAAGGGCTCTGTGCTGACAGTGCCAGAGCCTGCTTGAGATTCTTTCTCTGCCCCTCTCCTACTTGCATTCTCAGTCCCTCTCTCAAAATTTAAATAAGTAAACTTAAAAAGAAATCAGGGGCATCTGGGTGGCTCACTACGTTAAGTGTCCGACTTCGGCTCAGGTCATGATCTCATAGTTCGTGGGTTCGAGCCCCACATTGGGCTCTGTGCTGACAGCTCAGAGACTGAAGCCTGCTTCTGATTCTCTGTCTCCCTCTCTCTCTGTACCTCCCTGCTGGTGCACGTGCATGCGTGCTCTTTCTCAAAAATAACCAAATGTTAAAAAAAAATCTCTTTACAAAGAAATCACATTGGGATGCCTGAGTGGCTCAGTCAGTTAAGCATCGACTATTGGTTTCAGCTCAGGTCATGATCTCACAGTTTTAGGAGTTCCAACTCCAAGTTGGGTTCTGCCCTGGCAGTGTGGAGCCTGCTTGGGATTCTCTGTCTCCCTCTCTCTCTCTGCCCCTCCCCTACTTGTGCTGCCTCTCTTTCAGGATAAATAAACTTTAAAAATAAATATGGGGTGCCTGGATGGCTCGGTTGGTTAAGCATCCAACTTTGGTGCAGGTCATGATCTCACACTTCGTTGCTTCGAGTCCCAGGTCAGGCTCTATTGCTGACAGCTCAGTCTGCTTCATATTGTGTGTCTCCATTTCTCTCTGCCCCTCCCCCACTCGCACTCTGTCTCTCAAAAATAAATAACATTAAAAAAAATTTTAATAAAAAATAAATTATTTAAAATTTTTTTTAATAAATTTAAAAATTTTTAAAAAGGGGCGCCTGGGTGGCTTAGTCGGTTAAGCATCCGGCTTTCGCTTAGGTCATGATCTCGTGGTTTGTGGGTTCGAGCTCCGCGTCGAGCTCTGTGCTGACAGCCAGCTCGGAGCCTGGAGCCTGCTTCAGATTCTGTATCTCTCTCTCTCTCTGACTCTCCCCTGCTCATGCTGTCTCTCTCTCTCTCCTAGAAATAAAAAAATTTAAAAAAATTAAAAAAAATTTTCCCTATTATGGGCACCTGAGTGGTTCTGTCAGCTGAGCATCTGACTTTGGCTCAGGTCATGATCTGTCGTGTGTTCAAGCCCCGCGTTGGATTCTATGTCTCTTTCTCTCTCTCTGTCCGACCCCTGCTTGCGCTCTGTCTCTCAAAAATAAATATTCATTAACAAATATACATATAAAAATATATATCTCCCTATTAAATTTAAAAACTTTGTCTGGGGCTCCTGGCTGGTTCAGTTGGTAGAGCATGCGACTCGATCTCAGGGTTGTGAGTTCCAGCCTCATGTTGGGTACAGAGCTTACTTAAAAATAAATCTTAAAAACAAACAAACAAAAAAAAAAACTTGTCTTTTTTTTTTAAACTATATTTCAAGCCATATCATAAAGAATTATTTTACTATTTGCCTAACAGTAATAAGCATCTATTTGTACCTTTGTTTAGATTGCAAAATGAACTTTCACTCAATTCCAACATTAAAAGGCTATTCTAATATAACTGCTATCAATCACTCTAAAGCTACCTGGGAAGAGATTTACCACCTTAAGGTATCCACTGTTGCATAATAAGTTAACTTCTGTCCTAGCCACCTAGAATGGTACTAGTTATAGAAATGTTTTCTGTGTTCTCTGGTTCAAAGCAGAAACTCCAGTTGACTTCCTTATCCAAAGCCTCTACACACCTGTAGCTGCACCCCTTTCTTATCTTCATTCTCCACATGAAGACGAATTCGGCCAAATTTATCGTCTGAGATCCTAAGCATGATCATGCCATGCAATTCCATATTCTGCAATCCTCCGTCTCGGCCACAGGTTAGTGTAATCTTTTCCTCAATCTTCATGTGCACACTGTAGGGAAAAATGTAATAAAATGTGTTCATAAAGGCAGAAACCAGAATTCCCTTTCCCCAAGGTTTGATGGTGATTAGCCATCAACAACTTATTTTAAGGTGCTGCTGCTCTCTGTACAAAATTTAAAGCACCATACCCTTTCATCCTGCAAAGTCTCAGCTGTGCAAACAATGTAGTGGTCATTCTCTGAAGAAATGTTTATAATAGCTAAAGTTTGGAAACAACTAAGTGTCCATCAGTAGGGAACTGCTTAAATACATAAAGGTACATCCACAAAAATGCATATTGAGCAGTTGTGAAGAAAGGGAGTAACAACTGAAAGTGCTTTTCATTTGAAAATAATTTTAACAATGAAAAAAATTAAAATTATACCAGGAATACATTTATACGCTTTTTAAATGCTGTTAACATTTTATCCCACCATTTGTTTTATCATTTGCATACTCTCTACAACTATTATTTGATTTCTTTTCCTGAACCACTTAGAGCCAGACTATATATACCATGGCCCTTTAGCCCTAAACACTTCAGAGTATATCTTGTAAGACAAGGATATTGTCTCTTATATAACCACAGTACTTGTTAACTTCCTAAAAGAACATTGATACTTTGTCTAATCTACCATCCATATGCTAATTTTGTCAGCTGACCTAATAATGTCCTTTAAAGTTGTCCAAGATCCAAGAGTGCCTGAGTGGCTCAGTTGGTTGAGCATCCGACTTAGGCTCAGGTCATGATCTCCTGGTTCATGAGTTTGAGCCCCACGTTGAGCTCTGTGCTGACAGCTAGCTCAGAGCCTGGAGCCTGCTTCGGTCTATGTCTTCCTCTCTCTCTGCCCCTCCCCTGCTCACACTCTGTCTCTCTGTCTCAAAACTGAATAAACGTTAAAAAAATTTTTTTTTAATTAAAAGTTGGACAAGATCCAGTTTAGGATAAAGTCTTACATTCAGATGCCATATCTTTATTGCTTCAAATAAAGATATTCTCATCTCCAAAATAAGTGAAAAAAGCAACTGGAAAATGTATCTAGTACGCTACTACTCCTGTATAAAAAGAAGAAAAATAAAATATGTATATTTTAATTCGTCTACATATAGACTATACCCCTCCGAAAAATACAAGAAGAAACTAATTAATACTAGTTGCCTCCAAAAAGAGAAACTTGCCTGGCTGGGTGGGAGAGAGACTTTTTATTGTAATACTTTTGAAACCTTTTGAATTTTGAACTGTATCAATGTATAACCTAATACAAAAAATAAGTAAAACAAAAAGTGCTGCCTCTCTGGGCAACTAGGAAGTACAATCTATCCATACCCTTTACAAAAACTATTTTTAACTGGGTGAACTGCAGAAGCTAAAAAGCATATTCTGGTATCCTACTCTGTCCACCACAGAAGTCATCCCAGAAACAAAGGCATGAGAGTCAAGACCACAAAGTAACCCATCTTCAAACAGCACAGGGGCCCATGTGTCTTCTCAAGAGTTTGCTTCATGCTCAACAATTATGTCATCATTTAGGAAAGAGCCTTGAGCCCTCTCTCTAATACATGATGGTTTCCAACATCTTTTTAAAATAGTGTCAAGCCGGGGCGCCTGGGTGGCTTAGTCGGTTAAGCGTCCGACTTTCGCTTGGGTCATGATCTCACGGTTCGTGGGTTCGAGCCCCGCGTCGGGCTCTGTGCTGACTACCAGTTCAGAGCCTGGAGCCTATTTCAGTCTGTGACTCCCTCTCTCTCTGACCCTCCCCTGCTCACACTGTCTCTCTCTCTCTCTCCTAAAAATAAATAAAAAATATTTAAAAAAAAAAAAATAAAATAAAATAAAATAAAATAAAATAGTGTCAAGCCTTTGTCTCACACAAAGCAACCGCTAGGAACAACACAGGAGCTTTAGCGATTTAAGAGATTTATCCCAATGTACTCCTGTTCATTTCAGCCTGAACAGGAAATACAAAACACTCCTTTTCATGCACACCTGATAAAAGTATCCTCCCAGACTCATCTTTCACTTGACCCCAAAAACCATCAGCAACAGTAGAAGGTCTGGGCTTCAAGACAAGAAATCTGAGTCATGAATATGTGAACTAAAAATGTTACCAACCAATCCTGAGATCAGAGACAAATAAAAAATATTCTATACCAAGTTTAAGTACTGAAAAGGTAAGATTTTAATTTGCTATTAAAGATATTTATCCATTTTGTATTAAAGATTGGTTCTCCTTAAAGTTTAATTAGAAGAAGCCATGCCAAAAAATAGTGAAGGGCTGCTACACGTCTAGCTCTCTAATTCAAGTCCTTTTTTTTTTTTTTTTTAATATGGAAGCTTCTCAAATTTGCATGTCATCCTTGCACAGGGGCCATGCTCATCTTCTCTGTATCATTCCAATTTTAGTTTATGTGCTGCCAAAGCGAGCACTAATTCAAGTCCACTTTAAGAGACAAGGCAAACACTAGGCATGAAGACAAAATTATAAATTTAGCCAACACAGAGTTGATAAAAGGTTAAGTTCTAAATTTCATAGGAAATAAATAGCTGAGAGCCCCCAACAATGGTTAAAAGAAAAAAAAAAGATCCCGTGCTAAAATCTAGAATATATTTTCCTAGTCTTTTTTTTTGAACACTTCGATTTTATTGTCTTTTTAATGTTTATTTATTTTGAGAGTGGGGGGTGGAGAGAGAAAATCCCAACCCGGCTCCATGCTGTCAGCACAGAGCCCAACACAGGGCTCAATCTCATGAACGGTGAGATCATGATCTGAGCCAAAATCAAGAGTCAGACGTTTAAACCAACTGAGTCAACCAGGTGCCCCTAGAATACATCCTAAGTCTTTTAAACTCTGGAAAAGTTAAAAGTCACATAAAAAATTTGTAATGTGCTGAAACATTTTTTTTTTTTAACGTTTTATTTATTTCTAGGAGAGAGAGAGAGAGACAGCGTGAGCAGGGGAGGGTCAGAGAGAGAGGGAGTCACAGACTCTGAAACAGGCTCCAGGCTCTGAGCTGGCAGTCAGCACAGAGCCCGACGCGGGGCTCGAACCCACGAACCGCAAGATCATGACCTAAGCGAAAGTCGGACGCTTAACCAACTAAGCCACCCAGGCGCCCCTGAAACAAACATTTTTAAACATATGGTCTGTTCTTACTGAAAAAGTTACTGACCTTTCCATATTAATGGGGGGAGCATGCACTTTGGTTGCTTCAGAAGTACGTTTGCCCATATTGGAGGACATGATAGTTTCACCTTCAGATTTCAATTTGTCCACAAAATTATCTACTTCCTTCCCTTTGGCTCCAAGTTTCAAAGCCTTGCTGGGACCTGAAGGCCTAAATGGAAGAATAAGAAATAACAAAGTTAAGAAAAAACACATACATGAATTTTAAAAATTATTAATTAGTAACCCCATATAATCAAAGCTTTCCTTAAACCCGTTCTCTAAGAGGAATGAGCAGATTTCAAGGGAAAAACCCAAGCATCCTAGGGTTTAGTGGAGAATCACACTATTCCCTGCCCTAGCTGGCAGCTGAGTCACTATTAATATGTAAGCTTCAGGGACCAAAAGATCAAAGGTACATTTATGTAAGCATGCATGATCAGATGCGAACTTTGTACTTTTCATCCGGATCAATACACCTGTGCATAAACAAACTGCTACATATACTTTCAGGTAGTTCAGATTCTCCCTGAAAGGCATTCACACTAAGATTAAAAAATGTTCCATAAGTAAATATCCCCTTCTCTCCCAAAATAAGGCAACTCTCATGGTATAATTTGTAAAAGAATGCTTTAACACAAAAATCCTCTACCTTCAGATTTCTCCTTTATCCCTTTTTTATGTAGCCAATGTAGCCAAATTTAATATTACATCTTACTTCATTAAGTCACTCGTTATTTTCCACTTGCCAGAAATCAGGTATCCCTGCACAATACACACATGCAGCCTTCTCCTGCCACTCGAGGGCTGCTGGGGATACACTGGATTGTACCTGGCTGGGGCAGGTGCCACTTTTGGTTTATCAGTCTCAATGATGGTCTCTGTGATCATGGCCGCTGTGCTGCCTCCAGATACTGCAGAGCTTCCAAAGCCTCCAAATCCTGGTGCTTTTTTGCCCTGTCTCTCTGCATCTCTTCGGGCCTGTTGTAATTCCTTTGCTTTACGCCGCATCTCAGCCTTGGCTTCACGTTCTTGAGTCTACAACAAGAGACATTCATGGAGTTGGCTTTGGTTATAAGAAAATCAAAATACTAAAAGCCTAAAAGAAAGATACACAAACAAGAACTCCCAAAGAAGATGCTATTTACCTCTCTAACTGCTCTGAACACCTTCTCCTCATGAGAATCCATTTCTGTGAAGGTTCTGATCTGTGCCAGGTTAACATTCTCCCGGTATCCCAGGGCAACAATTTCATCAAAAGCAAAAATTAAATCAAAACAGTGCTCAGATATTTCATTCTCCTCTAAGGCTCGGCAATACTCAGGTATCTAATAGCGGAAAAGATTTAAAATTTATCAGCATTTATGTTTCCAAGTCTTATCCTTTAAAATACACATATTTTTAAAAAGTAAAATAAAATACACAGATTTCATAATCCCGAATCCCTCTGTTATTCTCTACTCTTTCTTTTAAGCAAGACTTTAGCATAAAGTGTGTGTGTGTCTGTGTGTGTGTGTGTTGTGCTGTGTTGTGTTGTGTTGTATCAATACGTCTTATCTGGGGCACCTGGCAGGCTCAGTAGGTAAGAGCATGCAACTTGATCTTAGGGTTGTCCAAGCCCCATGGTGGGTGTAGAGATTACTTAAAAACATAATCTTAAAAATTAAATAAGGGCACCTGGGTGGCTTAGTCAATTAAGCAGCCAACTTTTTTTTAATGTTTATTTTTAGAGAATGTGTGCACATTCCATCTCTTAAAAAAATACTTAAACAGATAAATAAATCTTATCTAATAAACATTATCTAAAAATATGGACAAACAAGTGTCAGAACCACAAAAACAGATCGGAGCAACCAGTTAAGAACTGTGAAAGGAAAGGTCAATTCACACATTCTCTTTCGGGATACTCAGTCTGGGAGGACACCCAGTGTTTGCTGAATGAATAAGGAAGGAGCCGTAGCTATCAGCTGCTGGGGTAGGGGTGGGGACCATGCAAACCGGTAAGCATGAGCTGCTCTGGGGGATAAACAGTTTCACAGAGAAAATTTAAAGCAGAAAACTATAACCCACTATTACAAAAGGACTCTTACCACTCTTGAGAAAAGTCTTAGGGTCTCCAGATCTTCTAAGATGTTACTGTTTTTGGTAGTGATCAGCACCATATACAGTTTCTCCATAGGCTGGTAGACATATCTTACACTCTCTGTTTCAACAAATGTATGCTGTTTTCCAGTGTTCATGAGCTTTGGAAACGCTGCTAACAAGCCCTCAATCCGAGTTCGGGTCATCTCCACAAACTGCCGAGAAACAATAGCCTTTCCCGCCTTCGTGCAGACGGCTGCTGCCAAGAGCACCTGGCAGGAACACAGTAAGTAAATACTAATTATTTCTTCACGTCTGTTTTCTTAGCATCCTCATTTCTTCCACAGGATGCCACACTCAGTTATTCAGTGATGTGAATGTTAGAATGCTGACTTTCAAACTCTACTTCATTGCTCTTTTTATTCTAGTATGTAATTCGTAACGTAAAGCTACGATAGAGGGAAATGAAACTATCATCCCTATTTTTCAGTAGCATATCTTAAGAAAAACTTATTTAAAAAAACCCACCTTTTTCCACGTCTACAAATGTTTGTTATCAGATTCCCTATGACTCAGAAACGGATTGTTCTCTGCTTTGGCAGACCCATTAAGAATAGTTTAAACTTCTTCCAAGAACAGAAATCTCCACAGCAAAACAGGTTTGACCAGGAAGATTAAAGGTTTATAAGAAGCCCCTAACCTTTCCTTTCATTTTTGCCTAGAACATGGAACCAATCTCGTGAGTCCAAGTTGCTCTTTTGCTCTTTGATTAATAATGTTCCCATCCCACACTATCCTACCTCTAGATATGTAAACAATCTGTAAAATGAGAAACTGAATGACTCAATGTTTTACACAGTTTTTGACACCAGTCAATGATCAAGACCTACAGTCTTTTCTCACAGTCTGGCATTCATTAAATGAAACAAAGCACCAAAGAGTGATGAAGAGACCTCAAATGCCATTAGCAGGGGAGTAAGAAAATTAAGTACGGTATTAATTATCTCTATAGGGCAGGAACCCAAAAATTCACAAATACCAGTAACCAAAGGACTACTTACACATTTCAGAAGCCTCAATGCTAGGATACAACATGTGAAATAGAATTATCCCACTGGTCAAGCTTCGCAGCTTTACAGAAACCTGTCCCCTAAAGGCAAGTAACTTGAAGAAAAAGCTAGTTAATTCAAATATTCTTTTTTTTTTTTTTAACGTTTTATTTATCTTTGAGAAGAGAGAGAGAAAGAAAGAGAGACAGCATGAGCAGGGGAGGGTCAGAGAGAGAGGAAGACACAGAGTCTGAAAGAGGCTCCATGCTCTAAGCTAGCTGTCAGCACAGGGCCCGACGCAGGGCTCGAACCCACAAACTGTGAGATCATGACCTGAGCCAAAGTCACATGCTTAACTGACTGAGCCACCCGGGTGCCCCTCAAATATTCTTATTAGAGTCTCGGTACATCAATACAGTTCTATAACAATTAGAGGAGAACACAATGTTCTTATCCACCAAGACTAGTAACTAAGGTATTTGGAAGATAATTACCATCATGTTTATTTCCAAGCAGCTAGGTGAAAACAATTTATATTAGAAAAGTGTTTGATCCATAGAGGCTGTTCAGGGGCTCCTGAGTGGTTCAGTCAGTTGAGTGCTCAACTCTTGAATTTGGCTCAGATCATGAGATCAAGCCCCGTGTCAGGCTCAGCACTGCTGAACACAGAGCCTGCTTGGGATTCTTTCTCTGTCTGCCCCTCCCCTGCACACACATAGCTCTCTCTGAAAATAAATACATAAACATTAAGAAAAAAAAAAAGAACAAAAAAGGAGCTTCAAATCTTCATATTCACTTTAAGAACACTAGGAAAACTGCCCAGGCCATCAAGGGTATGTACTTGAAAAGCCACTAAGTATCTAAAGGATGTCATTTACAGAAAAATCTGTGTGACCCCATCACTATAGACCCTGTCACTATAAAGGTAGAGTTGGTAGGTGCACCCAGGCCAAAGAGTGGGGCTGGACAAGGGTTGGTGGCCCAAAAAGAATCCTGAATTTTTACTGTACATGCTTAAAAATGCAGATGGTAAGGTTGAACTTAAGGATTCAGACGTAGATCCTCTGGTCACTGAGCACATCAAGGTGAATAAAGCTCCCAAGATGTGGGGAGAACTTACAGAGCTCATGGTCACATTTACCCATACATGAGCTCTCTCTACCACACTGAGATAATCCTTACTGAAAAAGAGACTGTTCCTAAACCAGAATAGGGGATTGCACAGAAGAAAAAAATACCCCAGAAGAAACTGAAGGAACAAAGACTTATGGCCTGAAAGTAAATTCCATATAAAATAAATGCAAATATGTGGCCCTGGGGTGGCTTAGTTGGTTAAGCATCCTACTTCAGCTCAGGTTGTGATCTTATGGTTCATGGGTTTAAGCCCTGCGTCAGGCTCTGTGCTGACAGCTCAGAAACTGGAGCCTGCTTCAGATCCAGTGTCTCCCTCTCTCTCTGGCCCTCCTCCTCACTCTCTCTCTTAAAAATAAAATAAATATTAAAAATTTTTTAAAAAAAGAATGGCAAATAATCTAACTTAAGAATCCAAAAAACAATTACTTTCCCCCAAATATTTATATTTTTGAAAATAGTTTTGAACTCAAGAAATCTATCTTTCACCATCACTGACCCTTTGGGAGGTTTTTGTCATCACCTACATATGACGCAAAAAGATATACTGAAGATAGTAAAGGATACCAGAAAAAGAATAAAAAAACAAAATGATTATGGCATGTTTCTCATAGGAAATTATCCATCCCATGTCTTTAACTTTATTTACTTATTTTGGCTATAGATTTTTATTTTTTTAATGTGGTTTTAAGGTATGATTAACATATAAAATTGTTAAGATATTTAAAGTGGACACCGTGGTAATTTCCTGTCTTTAAATTAAAGACTTCTTTAAATAAAGGGAAGGGTAATTTTGGGCACACAAATAATGCTAATATTTTAATCCCTTTGGAGATGAAATTGACCTAAAATTATTACCAGGCCAAGAGTTACATTTGTACAGAAGGCTAAAAGTAAATGCTCTCTAGAAATTCAATTTCACATTAATTTTTATCGTAGGTTCATATTTCAACCATCTAAAGATTTCTGGCAAAAAAATAATTTATTTTTTTCTTTTTCCTTTTTTTAAAAATTTTACAGGGAGGGAGGGAGAGGGAGAGGGAGAGAGGGAGAGATGGAGAGAGGGAGAGGGAGAGGGAGAGGGAGAGGGAGAGGGAGAGGGAGAGGGAGAGGGAGAGGGAGAGAATCTTAAGCAGGTTCCATGCGCAGCACAGAGCCCAATGTGGGGCTCAATCCCACGACCCTAGGATCCTTTCCTGAGCCGAAATCAAGAATCAAACACTCGGGGCACCTGTATGACTCAGTCGGTTAAGCGTCTGACTCTTGATTTTGGCTCAAGTCATGACCTCACTGTTTGTAGGATTGAGTCTCGAGTTGGGTTTTGCATTGGCAGCTCAGAGCCTGCTTGGGATTCTCTTCTCTCTCTCTCAAAATAAACAAATAAACATTAGAAAAAAAAAAAAGTCCAACACTCAACCGAGACACCCAGGTGCCCTTGGCAAAATAATTAAAAAATTAAAAATAGGGGCACCTGGGTGGCTCAGTCAGTTAAGCATACGACTTCGGCTCAGGTCATGATCTCAAGGTTCATGAGTTCGAGCCCCACATTGGGCTCTGTGCTGACAGCTAGCTCAGACCCTGAAGTCTGCTTCATATTCTGTGTCTCCCTCTCTCTCTGTGCCTCCCCTGCTCACATGCTCTCTCTGTCTCTCAAAAATAAACATTAAAAAATTAAAAAAAAATTAAAAATGTAATCACTGTTTCAGCTTACTAATGACAAGTAGGTAAGTCTCTGTACTGGTTCACTAAAGGTTTGCATGCCACATATGTCCAAATAATAAGGTTTTTGTCCCAAAATGTCCCTCAGAAAAGAGCTGTCATAAAAAACTTGTACATGAATGTTCATAGAAGCAGCATTCATAATGAAAATAAGCTAAAAAGTGAAAACCCAAAAGTCCCTCAACTGATGAATGGATAAACAAAATGTATATCCATACAATGGAATATTATTCAGTCATAAAAAGAAATGAAGAACATGTTACAACATGGATGAACTTTGAAAATATTGTGGTAAGTGAAAAAACCAAACACAAAAGGCCACATGTTACATGCTTCCATTTATATGAAACATCCGGAATAGGCAAAACCAGAAACAGAAAGTCGATTAGTGGTTGCCAGGGGCTGGGAAAGGGGAAATGAGGAGTGACTGCTAATGAGTACAGGCTTTTTCTTTGGGGTTATGAAAATGTTCTAAGCTTAAATAGTGGTGATGGTTGTGTACAACTTTGTGAATATACTAAAACATCTACTGAATGACAGAAATTTGAAAGGCTAAATTTTATGGTGAATTGTATCTCAATTAAAAATAAAAAGAAGGACAGGGGCGCCTTGTTGGCTCAGTTGGTACAACATGTGGCTCTTGATCTCAGGGTCACAAGTCCAAGCCCCATGTTGGATATGGAGCCTACTTAAAGTAAAATTCAAAAATTAAAAAAAAATTTTAATTAAAAAAATAAAAAGGAGAGCAAACCCACAGATTAAAAGAGACCTAAGAAATCTGTCAACCAGTCATAATTATCTTATGTGTACCCAGATTCACTGTTAAAAAAATAATAAAACAGGAAAATTTGAACAGTAAAAGAACAGTTAAGGATAATAAGAAATTATTGATAATTTTAAAGGTGTGATATATCAATTAAAAATATTATACACAGTAAAAAAATAAAAAATATTATATAGGGTGCTTGGCTGGCTCAGTCAGAATAGTATATGACTCTTGATCTCAAGAGTTGTGAGTTTGAGCCCTACATCGCGTATAGGAAAAAAAAAAAAGCCTCCATTCCATACAGATAGAACTTAGGTAAAAATTACCATCAAAGGCAATATGAAAGGGAAAAAGAAACAAAAGACAACCTATAACCATAAAGTTATATGCTATGCAGAGGAGCAAGTCGTCCCCTTTGCTATATATATTTTTTAATGTTTATTTCAAGAAAGAGAGAGGAATGGGAACAGGTGAAAAGCAGAGAGAGAGAAAGAGAGAGATATTCCCAAGTGGGCTCCACTCTATGATCATGGAGCCCATCATAGGGCTCAGTCTCACCACTGTGAGATCATGACCTGAACAGAAATCAAGAGTCGGCCACTTAACC